TGGGAGTTTATACATTTCACCTGAAAGATCGAATTGCTGTAAACAATCCCTGAGGATGATCTGCCTGTGCCAATTGTCGTTTCTTAAGCTGTTTTTGCTTTTTTGTCCCCCTTTTCATGGAAAATAAACACGAGAAAACTTGCAAACCCAGAATCCATCTCGCTCAAAAAAACAACACAAAGCAGACGGATATTTGCTCTTGATTGAAACGTCTGCTGTTAAGCCGCAGCCAAGAGCAAATTTTGTTTTCATCCCTTTCTAGCCAAACGTATCACACTGCGGAAGAAGATGCTATTGAAAGTCCCAGGGCACCTTTTGGAAGAATAGGGCCGTTAACCTTGAAGTCCTGGCCAAATTGTAAAACGGGTAATTACATTCCACCCACTTCAACTCTCCCTGCAATTTCTATTTGCTGTCGGATGTCCTCGACCCCTTCTCTCAACTCTTCTCCACTGCTGTTGTGCAGCTAATTAGTTGGGTTTTGTAAGGTGCCCAATGATTCCAGTATCCACTGTCAAACTTTGTTTAGTTAAGAGATTGCTTCTCAGCTTGCACGGACACGTTAAAGAAGCAGCCTCCGTTAATCCAAAACCCCCACCGTATCTGAATGGCTTTGGTGTCCCTCAGCTCCTCCAAATAAACGAGGTTTGACTGCAAACTGCTTGTCCACTCCGTAGACCTTGCAAAGTGCTTTGGGCTCCATTGGGATGAAAGCGGCTCCATGAACGCGAGAGCATTATTGTTTCTGACACTAGGAAATAGCTTGCTTCTTGCAGCCATAGTCAGAGCTCCAAGTTTGGAGTATTTACATAATTAAAAATTCAAGGAGAGGTTCGGCTTGCCAAAGAAATGCTTGTGTGAAGTCAGATTCCCCAGCAATTTTTTTTGAACGCTAGTTACTACATTGTGTTTTCCAACTTGAAACTCAAAGCAGTTGTGCAAAGGGCATGGCCCCAGACGCAGCAACCTGGATGCAGAGGGGTGCGTTTCAGATGCTCCCTGATTGAAACAGGTTTTTATTACAGTTCTCGCAAGCATGCCTATGCTCGAGAGAAGCCATCAAGGCTGAGATGCCTAAAACAAAACCCTCTTTTCAAGATGCAGCACACATCATTCTCCATGCCAGGGCTGCACCTCTCGCAGGATTTTTGCAGGGAAAAAATCCATGACGCTGCAATGAGCCAGAAAAAGAGGAGGAGGAGGAGGATTAGATAGCTTAAATTTGGGTCCCTGCTCCATCAAGCCTCAAATATACTTAGGGCCTGATGCATCCAAGTGCTAAGAATAAAAGGGGACACAACCCTGGGAAGTGAAGATCAACCTCCTCCTGGTCCCAGGATTCCCAAAACCTTGCTTTTATTTATTGTACTTCTCTAAAGCACTTCAGGCTGTTATTGCATTCTGCCAACGCACGAGACTTCCCCACACGCAGGACACCAGGAGGTCTGTGCAAACGTTCGCAAGATGATCAAGTATCTGCCGTTGGGTTTCTCAAGCGCGGCACGGCCTCCAGCAAGGCTCCAGGCACCCTGCCTAGTTCTCAGTGCTTGGCAAGGAATCAGTTGAGATCTCCATGAGACCAGGGTCTAACTGTGCACTGCGAGCTGCCTGAGCTGGGATTTTGTCTTTCCCTTTTCTCCGAGGTGCTGTGCACCTCCATATTGCTGTCTAAGTACTACTAGAACAAAAGGAGCCACGTAAGATGAGGCTTCTCTTATGCCTCCCATAGCACATGTAAAACAACTTTGCACATTCATTCCCATTGCAAGCAAAACCCAAGAGGCATTTCACTTCTCTATAGCGCCAACTTTACAGTAACAACCACTCTCAAGTTAGGGATCACATAGACTTGGGTGCATGAGAAAGAGGACTCCTCCTGCTTGTTTCCTTGCTGTTTCAAGGTTGCATTCTCTTGCCCTGATGGACAGCATTTGGAGCAGGTGTGCAAGGGGTACCTTGTCACTGTTGACCTTGGTGTCCGCGGATCATGGGACCTGGCAGCGCATTAAATGTGAGCAGAAAGGCTGCAAGATGGATCGCTGCATCAGTGTCAGTGGGGTTGTGTGTGGGACCAGCCTGGGCATCTGTAACCTACAGCCAAGGGTTTACATCAGGGCTGAAGTCGAACATCCACCAGGTTCAGGAAGCCCCACTGCTTCCTTAACCTGACTGCTGTCTTTCTTTTACAGTTCATTAGCCTGAAATCGAGCCGATAATTTGCTCCATGTTTGTCTCAGCTGTCAGTACCATGCTGCCTCCATTATAAAATGCCACGAGTCTACTACCTTGAGTCCACGAGAAGGACCCGATGAGCTTCCAGACATCTTTTTCTTTTCAAGTTCTCATCCACAGCTGTCTCATTCCTCCCCGACACGAAAATAACAAAGGTCACAAGCTGCTGTTGTGCCCCGACACCATCTAAACCGAAGCGTTACAACTCATGGCCAGATAGGCACGAGTTTCAGTAAGATAGACCAGAAGATGCGTAATACTTTACAGACGTAGCGGCTTTGCCCTGAGGAAGTGCCTGCTTCCCATTAAGGACAAACAGAACAGAAATCAGTGGAATTGCTCACACTGGAGGATAAACACAGGCGGTGCTAAGTGTCGACTTGTAAAGGAACGGGGTGAAATCCAGGCTTCGCTGCATTTGATGGCAAAACTCCCATTGACTTCACAGGCCCAGAATTCCCCCACGCACTCAGCCCTACAAAGCTTGGGAGTCTAAATATTACAAAATAATAAACACTATTAAGACATTATTATCCTATGGGTCACAAAGGGCAGACACAAGAATGCCCTGTTCTCCTAGTGTTACGCTCTTATAAATAGCCTTCCTTTCTGAGAAGCCCCGGTCACGCATCTCCAACCTAAGCAATGGAGTGAAGAGGAAAAGGTAGTGTAAAACATGCAGGATGCTGGAAAGGTCTGAAGGGAGGGAAATGAGCCGTTTTCTTATTAAGGAGGCAGAGTTTGGGAATACGAAGGGAAACTTAATGAGAAAATGCAAACTTGAGAGGTCGAGTCCTCGCCGCACACAGAAAGGAAATGAAACGATGCCAACCTGGCTGCACGCAAAGCCAGGCAAAACCCAGAGGCCGGCACAGTTTTCGGTTTCTATGACCACGGTCCTGCTACAAGCTCTAGATGAGCAGAGCCTGAACTAAGAGAGCCAGATTCAGGCTCTTCAGATGCAGGGGCCTGCTGAAAGGGAACTCGTTGCAGAATCAGGTCTTGTATCCTGCTATGCAGGGCTATTATCGCAATGGAGTTGGGCCAACCATTTCTAGGGGCTTTCCAGACATTTAAGTGGCAGCCAGCCCCCATCTTGAACACGCAACCCGGAGAAATAGGCTAGAGGAAGGGGAATTACTAATAGGAGCATCTGATCCGACACTGAGACACGTTTTCTTCGAAGAACTATTGTTTATGCTTTGAGATAAATGAAGAGAGCCAGGCATTGGCCAAAGACTCAGAAAGATATAGACACAATCCTCAGGAGCTCCCATCTAAACTTACGAACACAGAGAACATCGCCTATTCATTTATTCCAAGGGATCTGTCCTCACCCTAATCAGTATAATGAATTATACACCCCCCCACTCCATATACATATATTTTCATGAAACATGGTGCACTTTAGTTTATTGCATGGCACATGGCCACCAACGCTTTCAGCCCCTCTCGGCAGGAGAACGCAGTGCTTAAATGGGTTAAAGCAAATATCCCTTGAAGCCAAGCCTTCGCCAGCTGCTCCATCTTGAACTCGAGCTGCAAAATGCAAAGAGAACAGAACTCACAGTTGCACCATAAAACAAGGGGGAAAGAGGGGGAGGGAAGGAGAAAAAGACTCCTTTGTGGCTGACAAACTTGTGTTCCAGTTACACAATGTGGCCCATGTGCCTGTTCTCCAGCCTCAGCAACAAAGGAGGGGGAAGGCAGCGCTTCGTGATAAAGACCAGGAAGGCTTCACCACCATGATGGGAGGGATTGTAGCAACAGCCCCCCCATACCCAGCAGCTTTGCCCTCCCAAATGTCTTCCCTGCCACTTTCAAGTGATATTTTTCTTATGAAACAGTCGCTGTAAAACAGAGGCACTGCTGTATTTTTTAGCTTCCCTTTGGAAGGAAAGTTATTTAAACATCACCCAGATTGGGAAGCGCTATTAAAAATGAAACTGAAGAGGAGCCAAATTCTTAGGTTGTTGCATATGTAGCGTCGAGCAGGTTCTGGCTGGTCATTTGCATTGTACTTGTGCCTCAATAAATATCCCAAGGAAAAGTGTGAACTTTCAGTCAACTTGCTACTTACCAGGGACAATATTTGCAAGACAATCTTGATCACCGAGACTGACAGCTTGGGAAGAACGCCATCGTATATTAAACCAAATGGAATTTGCAGCTATTTGTCATCCACAAACACTTTTTTTTTTTTTGAATCATAAATTCCCCATTGGTAACCATCTGGATTGTTCGGTAAAAAGAAAAAGAAACAAGCTCCGAATAGGGACTACACAACACGCTACCCACAAGGGCAGAGCATGCAGGTGTCTCTTCCATTACAAGGAGCTTCCTAAAACCAGCATATCGGCATTTGAAACCTTTGTTCCACTGCAATCAGTGGTCAAAGTCTCATTGGTTTCACTCGTGGACTTCTAGGTTAGATGCAGAGGTAGTTTATGGGTCCCTGCAATCCTCATAGGCAAGAAGTAGGAGCTATTATAGGGCCCAGAGCTTTGAAGCCCTCTTACAAGTTTGATTTGAAAACCACTCGTGACTACAGGTGCACAAAAAGGAATCCACAGCTGCTCAGGAAGGTTCATATAGAAACAAAGGATGCTTGACCCGTCCGTGGACAAGGTTTCATTAACAATGGATGAAAATAAGATTGGGCAGCAGGCATCTCTACAGCCTTCAGAAACGTGGTGTTTGAACAATACCCAAAGTGAAGTGGGTTCTTTCTTAAGGACAAAGTGTCCTGAAGCTACATTGTTCATAAATACACATTTATTTGTTTTATTAGAAATGCATAATTACAGCATTTTATAGCATTTTTCCCCTAGAAAAGTAGTTAAGCAACAGTACAAACAAAATTGTTAGTCTTTTGCAAATACATTTTCATTACACTGAACAGAAAACACCAGCAAAAGGCTAAGACTTGCAGTTATGGTGGGGGGGGGGTCCTCTTTTTTTATTTATTTATTTTTTTTATGTTTTCCATTTTTTGTTATAAACACCATAGCAAATAAAAAAGCTGTTTAAACGGTGAAAAATATTTGAGCTCTCCATTTTCTATTGGTAAAGCAAGTACTGCAAAGCAGCAACATGTCTGATAAGATATCATGGACATTCAATGATACGATTCACAGAAGAAATGACAGGATGGAACATGACCGGTCATTCAGTTTTCATGTTCTGATTATTCTTTTTTTCGTTCTGGATGGAATTTTCTCTCTCTTAAATATACCTAAGGGATAACCATGGATACTTTGAAGATCATATCCTCAGCTGGTAGAGTGGTGTCGTTCCATTGAAACCAACAGACCTTTGCCGATTCGTGCCAGGTGAGACCCTAGCCCCACGTGTGCGAAAATGAACAAATAGACAGAACTCTGATATTTACAGGAGACGTATTTGAAAAGGTCAACGAGTCTGATGTCATCCTTTCCTTCCGCCTGTCGTGGCATATGAGCCGCAGCCCTCTGGCTCCCGACCGTGGTCGCTGCATTTGGGTCTTTCCAATTTTCACAGTTCCAACGCGCTATTGGATCTGGATCGCTCCGTGCTCTATCTGCATTTCTGGCTGGATGGCCGATGGGAGGGTATCGGTGCTCTAGGTAAAGAAACATGAAAAGAAAATTAATGTGCATTCTGGTGTCTGAAGAACAACAGTACAAACCTTCTGGTGCCCAAACCGGCTTTGTGACGCAAGTGTTTTAAAGACGGCAGACTCCAGCCGTCAGGATTCTTAACCCTTCTTCTCTCACAGACTTGCTGCGGGCCTTTCATGCAAATTGCTTTACCTTGCTATCTCAACCCATCTGGAAAACAAGAATGAGACCGCTTACTTGCCTTACAGGAGTGCCAGAAAAACTAGCAAATCTATCGCTGCATATAAGCTCAAAAAAATACTAAGTGTTGCTACAATACTAAATGTGTTATGCTTTTGCTTTATCCTGAATATGCTATTACCTTCCTCTTGGTGATGTATAAATCTCAAGGAAGATTTGGTGATAAAGATGCATCTAAAACTAAAGGGGGATTATTTTTCTATAGATGGGCAAAGAGCAGGGGAGACTCACTACGGTTAAGGCCAATCTGTGTTACGACTCCTGGTAAAATGCTGCTTAAAGGAGGTAAAATACTTATGAAGCTGCTTGGAAAACAGTCTTTAAATCCCAGTGAAAAAAGAAGAGCAGGGAAGGAGGGGAGAGAGCTAAACCAGAACAAAATGAAAAGAAGCTCATTCACTCGTAAGAGTTGTATCCCTTTGACAATAATGGTGTATTTAACCTGGACAACTCCTCTAACATGGTACAGTTATAATCAATGTGATGCAGTGCTCTACGCCGAGGCAGCTAATCCCATTCAGGATGGGGTATAAATGATGCCATTATTAGGCATAATCTGTGTACCACCAGAACTGCTTCTGCACTAAAGGCTGCACATGTGCAGCCATTGGTTGAAAAAGAAAAATCCCAACCCTAGCCAAAATAGTTAAATCAGTGCAGAAACCCACGTAAACCAGGCCTACAATGGATTTGAAATGGGAGTTCACACATGTTTTAACACTACAGTACCAAACCTTTACCATGTACAATGGGCCTTTTTGTCCAGTCTGCCCACGTTTGTCAGATAGCACATTTAAGTGAAATTCACACCTAATAAACAAGGTCAAATAAGAATAAAACCACTGTAAATGACCTGGTACATTCTGTAAAATTAGCTTTCCTCCTCTAAAAAATCTTCCTAGTGGCCCCAAATCCTCCTTCCCTTTCCTACCGAGAGGAACCAGACTTGTATGAAAAAGATTTCAATATATATATATTAAAATCTATGCTACATACGTAGTAATACTTTGCAGAACTTGATTTACTGTCTAAAATAAAAGGTGTTTGCATTACCATCACGTTGTCAGGTATCAGTGCAGTCGAGCAAGGCTGGCAAGCGAGTGGTCTCAAGGTGTGACAGATTTTGGAGGACGCAAGTTAGCCTACAGCGTCACATAAACTCTACCTTCAAGTCCACTGATACTCTGGGCACAGGGCAGAAGGAGGAGAGCAGCAGCTTGGCCCTTACAGAAGATCCTTTTTGACACCCTACCCCTCCCAGCAGCACGACAAAAATGGAAACATGAGCAATGGCTTCCCTACCTTAATAGCTTTCTATACAGTAATGATTCATTTAGTCAAAGGAAAACTCGGAGAGGTTCAAAATGTCAAAAGCTTTGTTCCTAAATTAAGGTTTCCCTGCGACATTAATCCCATCCGTGCCTCTGTGTTCTTTTGCCAGTAATCGCACATACCCACACCAGTTTTTCCTATGGAATTTTATGGGGCATTTGATCACTTATTTACTGGTTCTCTGTGGTAGTGCCAATATGGAGAATAATGCCAACACCTTGTCGACCGCCAAACTGTAAAGTGACCACCCAAACACCTGAGAAAAATATTTGGAAGGAAAAAAAAATCAGTATCTACAACAGAAACGCTCATTATTTTTTAAAGACTCAGCCCAGAAGTGGGAGGATGTCTGAAGGGGAATACAGGTGGCCCCGTGCTGTGGACTTTGACCACATTCCCAGCGCTACCAAAATTTAATCCTGGGTCAGGTGGTTTTCATGAAAACAAAATAGCTCATACTTTGGCATTACCACACTCTGCTCACATTAACTAAACATGCTGCAAATAATAGTGCTAGAAACAAAAACACACCCAAGTTGTGAAAATAAGCAGCTCTCAACCCTGCCTTTGTCTGCAGCTTTGTACCTGGAATGCGCTACTGATACGTTTGCAATTATATGTCTGACCACCTGGCACCTCTACTCATACCCAAAATGAATATGCCAGTGCAAAACTGCGCAGGTATAAACTGAATTTACTACTCAATACCCAGGCATTTGTATCTCCTTCTGTTCAGTGCAGGGAGAGACTGATTTAACAAAGCCTCACTTGGGCTTTCAATTTTCCTTGCGCAGTCAGGAGTTAGGCACAATTTGCAGGTACAAAGGTGAGACCAGAGGTGCTTACATTTTCAGGCCCGCAGGAGTTGCTTGCCTTTGCTTTTCTGAACTTGGAGTGTGCACAGGGCACTAAATCCTGGCCCTGCAGGAGAATAATGAACTCCGCTTTAGAGAGGGGTGGCCTACAGGAAGAGATTCAAGATGACCGAGAATGCCACGGTGCGTCTCCAAAGAGCCTCCGAAACGGAGAAGCAGGGTGTTGCTGCCTTACTCTGCTGGGAAAGACATTTCATTTCCACCCCACCCGCCTTTGAAGAACAAACGCCTTTCCAACACAAGGCAAGCCCAATCCATCCTTTCAGCCAAACCGCTGTTTGACCTGTTTACTCAAGTCATCCTCGCATCTTAAAATGATGCAAACGTCCGGATGGGCTTTGCTGCTTTGTTTCTGCAGCTCCTTCGTTGTTAGATTGCATAAATGACTTACCCTGCGCTTATTTTTAGCCTCGTCTGCATTTCCTTTTGTACCCCCCTCGCACTCCCCATTCCTTTCCGTTTTATTTCAGCTTGGTATAAATCTCTGCGGTTAACCACAATATTAAAACCTAACACGGTGCGAAATGTCTCCGCAAAAAGGAGCGACTCCGATGGTGGCTGCCAATCGTATGGGAGACAGATGCTTGTGTTTACGACCGGACTCCACAACTGACTCCCTGTCAGTTCTGATAGCCAAGAAAGGAGGAGGATACAGTCCCAAGCAACGTGCTCCACAACATAATTCATCAGAATTAAATTATAGGAGCGCTCAGAGGCCCAGAATTGGGATGGCAGTTAGCTATTACAGCAGCATCTCTAACCGTGTGGTGCATGTGCATTTTATGGCGGAGAGCCAAAGACGTGCCGAGTGCTTTAAAAGTTTACAAGATATACGTACACTTAGATCCCTGAACACACAGGTGCTTGTTGGCTAAGACACCATTAGGGACGAGCATGACCAAAGATACTAATGTGTTGTGGGGGCTGGAGAGGATTAGCAACGTGGCAAATGTGTGGGAAGGCCATTAAGGGTTTGCCTACGCAGGAAATTATCCTGCAGTAAGTTAGGTGCAAGCTCACAGCACCTTCACGTCTCCGCACTAACTCTGTGTCAGTGGTCTTAACACGCAACGGCCGCGTCCAGACAAGCGTGGCCGTGCGGTATGTGGGACCGCAGACACCGGTGCCACATACCTCGTGTTCAGTTGTTCTCCGCACTGCAAGGGAGCAGTGCGGGGGGTGGTGGTGGTTGAGCCATGGAGAGAACTCATGGAGAAAAAAAGCAGAGCAGTGCATGCACAGGCAGCTTAAAAAGCAGAGCTGGGCCACCTGGAGAAGTGCTGTGGCTGCCAGCCAGGCTCCGTGCGACAGAATCACCAGTGCTGCAGCCCTGGGAGGCCACCAGGACCCCAGGTAAGGCCCCCAGCCTCCACTACCGCCCCCGGGGTAACTTGCCGTGCGCCAGAGTGCACATAGTATGGGCTTTCCCTGGGGACAAGTAGCAGCGGCACAAGGTGCACTAGTTGTCCAAACATCCACACCACATGTGGACACAGCCAATAAGTGCAACATTGCTGACCGCTTTATTACAGTGGAGTGAGCTCTCTCACAAAGGGCATTTAAAATGTGCATAAGACTCCCATGCTGAGAGTTGGTACAGAGGAGCTGGAGCAGTGTAAATACCTATGCCAGCACTCTAACTTCGCTGTCCAGGAAAGCCCAAAGAGATCATTTTTGCTTGCTGTTTTTAGGACAGGGACTTTGGGATCACATTCATTTGACTTATAATGGTAAGAGAGTTTGCAGCGTTTGCCTGCTTTTCCGCTATCTCTTTAATCAAGGAGTGGGAGTGGAGATTAGATGTGGAATGCCGCAGGGAAGAAGTGAGTCTGGAGGAGAGATTTCGAGGCTTGAATTTTGTGCATGCACAGGTGATGAGTGTTACAGGGGAACCTACCAGCCTGCTTCATAAGGACTAGAAGCCAAAAAGGCCTCAAGGGACCATCTGTCTTCCAATAACCTAACGTCAGTGGTGCTGGAAGTGCTGGTTGGCCATGGTGCGATCCAGAGGTGATGGGTTGGCCCTGCTTCACTGAGGACTCTGCAATGATTTCCCTCTCCATAATAATCAAGTCATCTCTTTGCCACTTTTCTTGCTGAAGCTCCAGTTTTGGTCTATATTTCAGTGCTGTACTTTTTGTGTGTCAGGGTGGAGACCGCGAATGCTCTGGAACGTTTCATTTTCACCCTCCTTCAAATAATTTATTGAACCATATGTTCCTTTTCGATTAAGTAACAGTATTAGCTTGGGGGGGGGAGGTACCCAGAGGCCTCTAGGTGTGGACACCCTATAAATAAAAATGTTGTATTACTACTATTGTTATTTCTAATGTAGTGTTAAAAGCCTAATAAGACTCCTGGACATAGAAGATCTGCTTCGGGTTACATGTGGCCCTTGCACATCGTTAAGGACATGTGTCCTTGCAGAACAAATAGGAAAATTTTCCTTCCATTCATTATGGAATCTGTTGTCAGTGCCTGCTAAGAACAGCAGGCCTTACTTACCATGCCTATCTGTTAAAAATTCATATAAAAATAAGCACAGAAACAGTTATTTAAGCCTTCATACAACAGCCATTGAAAACTGCCTTGCTTCACCAATCCGAACATACTGAGCAATCTCTATTTCTCTACTGGGCACAGATCATTCGAATTACTAGGAGTAGGGCAACATTTGTCAACTAAGACTTTTTTTTAAAAACAAATAACGCAATCTGGTTAAACCAAAAAATCTCATGAATGCATCCAGGTTTTCTTTTCTTGCCCCCCCCCCGCAAGAGCCTCTGAAAATAATCCGCCCCGCCCCCCAAAATATTAAGTCTCATTTTGAAATAGTTTTAAATGAAACATGTTTTCCAATTTGCCCTTCAAATTTATTTTTTTTAAATAAGCAAAAAGGCTCAAAAACAGCAAGGCAAAAATAGTTCTTAAAAAGTTTCATTTCAACTTGTAAAAAATAAAATATTTTATTTTGACTGAATCTGAAACCAAAGTTTTTCCCCCAGTTTTTTGGAGCTCCCAAAAACCCCAAACAATCCACTATTTAAAGAGCTCTCCTTGGTGTGTTTTGGGAGGCTTTCAAAGGACCAAACCTATGCTTTGTAAACTGAAGCTATTTTGAGGTCATAATGTAAAAATGGATTCTCATGGTAACCTACTGTATGAGAACCACACTGGATGACACCAGAACTTGCAAAATGCAACATTTTCTGCACAGACCTGATACAACGGTTTTCTAACCAAAGCCAATGTCTGCAGCCAGTTTACAAATCTCCAGGTAATAGGGGATTGCGATGGCAAAAGTGACAAAAATCCAACTCAAAGTCTTGCCAGTGGCATAGATATGCTAACATGATATACAATATACGGGCAGCAAATGGAAGCTTATTTTGCACTGCAGCCAGACACACCGGAGGGATTACGCCTACAAAAGCAGGCTGTAGCCCATGTTGGGAGGGAGAGAAGGAGGAGAAGAAAGCCTTCAAAAATGGTCATTTGAAAATGTGCCATATGGCAGTCATCTGTTGCTACTTCAAAGAGAGAACAAGTCACTGGGCATGTATTCTTGCTCTGTGACAGCCAGGCTACCTTCAAGCAGCTTGTGACCATTGCAGAGCTTGAGTGACTTTACGCTTCCTCAGGTGACTTTTCTACATCATCAGTGATATGCAAATTCCTTCAATGATATGAATATTCATCCTGATGTAGAAGTGCCATAAATGCCATTATAAGAGAGCATGTCCAGTGTCCCCTTCACAACTAACTCTGCAGCTCACATGGGGAAGCTGGGCAAGAGATCAAAATGATGGGAAAACTATGCTGAGGAAGGCGATGGCATTCTTCAAGGAGCCTGGACTGGAGAACCTCAACCTCCAAGACATCCTCTTGTCATAACTCCAGGCAAGCTTCTTCTCCCTGTCCCGTTATCCTGGTGCTCAGCCTTTAAGGATGCAGGAAAATGTCCATGACAAAAAAAACCCTATTTTCTAGGGGCATAAAACAAGGACTTCCAGATAGAAATGAATCCAAAACTAATGAAAGGCTATTTATACTATTAACAAAATGGAAGCACTAATTGGAGAAGCAGGATAAGCCTGACAGGAATGGAGTATTTGTGGTCAGAAGCACGATTTCTTCGATAGAAATTTGTATTGCTTCAAGTACTTGCAACTGGGGGCAGAGTGGGGAGAATACATACTTGAGTAGTAGCAGCGTGATCCGTCACTGGTGCCAGCTGGACGTATTGGACCTGGATATCGCTTCCTTGGAGCGGAGATCCATCGACACCCCCAGAAGCAGGATCAGCTGAAGCAACCGCTATCAACTGCGCACCTTGTAATACCTGCAAGTCAACCAACAAACTGTTTTGTAGACAACCAAAAATCACAACAGCGCTGTGAAACACCTGCAACTCCAAACAGACGTCAGATGGAAACCTCCCCCACAAAAAAAACAACCTATGCATCGGTAAGAGTTAAAGTTAACTTGCAAGAGTTTCCAAAAGCAGGAGGTATTCATGCTGAAGGGCTCTTATGCCGGATGCACTTTGTTGTGTTTTGCTTTAAGACGTCTGGTTGCTCTCAGTCCTGTATTGAAAAGGCTAGCAGGGAGCATACCTGGAAATACTTAACTCTCTTACAATCCCACAAAACAGTAGTGTTTCAGATGCATCAGCAATGGAACAAAACCATCCCTAGGGACTCTGCTCAATACTCGAGGTTTAATTTGTTACACTACAATAAAACGCCGAGTCAGTACAGAAGAATGAGGCGGTTCTTGATAGAGGTAAGGGCGATTTGCACGTGATATTTCTTAAACCTAACGACTGAGGGTCTTTTCCTTGGGACAAGTGGACCCGTTAGCTTCTACAAGTGTTCGGAGGAGAGGAATGAGACCTTCACATTTACAAGCATGTGAAGCATAGGGGAAAAAAGTGTGCCTAAACCCAACTCTCTGAAGTCAATGAGTAACCGTCTGGTAAGTGCAACGGGGCCTTGGTGAAGGGTGTTGAGGCCTTACGTGAAACAAGGAAGTGCTCTCACAAGTGTATAAGGAAGGACACCATCGACCCAACTAGACATTTGAAGGAAACCCAAAGCAGAGCCCCACAGTTAAGGACCAGAGGACTAGACAGTGGGCCCCAAGGCTAGGCCTTTTTCTGCTTGATCCTATGTTTGTATAAAAACCTTTGGCTTCATGTCATACATGTATCTTCAGGTGCAGGAACGTGGGATGGGAAAAAGGCCATTGCTGGGTGACAAGTTTTTCTTATCTCGCTGTGCCATCAGGATAGGGTTGCCAATCCTCCTGGATTGGCCAGGAGTCTACCGGAATCGGCATCGATCTCCCGGTGACTACTGAAAGCAATCCGGGAGATTGATACAGGTAGTCCTCGACTTACACTGTTTCAAGCTATAACATTTCACACTTACAACATTTATAAATTGACACCGTTTCAACTTTCTGACATCAGTTTCAACTTTACGATGCTTGATCTGATGCCATGCCGCGCCAGCGAACAAGTTCGCTGCGTCACCCATCTCCCGTCTGTCCAAACTTCCTTGGACACTTTCTTTAAGAAAGCAGACAACACTCCAGAAAAACCTGCATCCAGGACTCCTGAGAAGGCTCCAGTCAAGAACCCTTCAAAAAGTGCAACCAAGAGCCCTTCAAAAAGTCCAGCCAAGTCACTTGAAAGAAGTCCTTCCAAATCAATATGATTGCTATTTGCAACATAAATACATTAATGTAGCTATATTACTCATCTATAAGTGATTGCCTACAAACTACTGGGTTATTTTTGGTGAAAATGGGGTATCAGGCCTTGGTTCAGGAACCAATCCCCCATTTATAACGTTGTTTTCTATGGGGAAATCAGTTCTGAGTTACAACATTTCGACCTAAGACGCAGTCTCAGTAACCAATTGTGTCGTAAGTCTGAGGACTGCCTGTATTGTGAACAGGTTGAACAGTACATTACGTCATGTTGGGGGGAAAAAAAACTCCCAGAATAGCTTCAGTCAGAGTTGGCAACCCTACACCAAGAAACAAGAAACCGCTGCTGCCGTGCTACCGTAAAGATTTGTAGCTTTTATTTTTTTAAACTGTTGTGGAAATGTACTTCGGGAAGCATTTTACATCAACATACAACAGTTTTCAAAAATATATCATGGCTATTGTCCTACTAATGAATGAGATAACTTCCTGGGTGCGAGCAGAAACAGCTGATCGTGGGCTCCTAAGTCTGCAAGTAGTTATTGTAAAGTCTTTGAGTTGCTTCAGCTAATTATGCAATAATGTCAACAGAACAGAACATTCCCACAAAAGAACGGTCTCTTGCTGCTACATAAATAAGGAGACAAAGCCAAGATATTCACTCAAGCGGCCAAAGACATTAATCTTGTGACAACATGTTGTTCTGATGGTTGTGCTCCTATCATATAAGAAAGGTGTCAATTCAATCATTATTTTTACAGAACATTTGTGCTCATTTACCCATTCCAGCTCTGCATATGGACTAATCCAGGTAACAGGCTCCTTCTCGGCTTCACACAATTGGACCAACTGATCCATTAAACAGTTTATTTGTGTATTTTTATGATTCAGCTATTTTGACAATTAACGTATTGTGTTCGTGAAGTGAGGAAGGAACATGACACCAGAATAACGTGTCATATTGAACCAATACATCCTTTCCTTTAAACCCATCCTGAATTTAGAGTCGCCCATTTTAGTTTTCAGATGCTAAACTTCTAAAATCACAGCCATCATCAGATTTTTATTACAAAGAGAAAAGAAAACAGAAGAAATCAGAGAACAAAGAACAAATAATGAACTTAGCAAGATTTCCTATATAAAAATAGAGTTTGTCAGCCGATGTCCAGGGGAATGGCCATGGACGTACACCAGAAGATCTCTGGGGAGCCTGGGAGACAAAGGAAGTTACTTTTCTAAGCGACTATGATGAGTGCTGCCAGGATCTCATTATGGCTCTTGGGTTTTCTTAGGGGCAGTCAAGAAAAGAAGATCAAATTGCATAAGACTGCTTGATTTTGTTTGTACAGGGCTGTATTACATTCTCCATTTCTTCTCGCTGACATATATTTTTATAACTAAGATACATATATGTCTGTGCGTAGAGCGGGCATCTCCCCCTCCCCGGCATTATTGAGTACATATTAGCCAGGAAGAATAACACTTGACAACTTACGTCTTCTTACATCAGTTGTATTTCGTCTGCCAAACCCCAGAATAATAGTGTGAGACTGGATTCGACATCCCTTTTACATTATGACTATGTAATTGAAATTATGTTACACCAAAAAAAGCTTATAGCTTTTCAGTACCAAACTGTATGTGTCTCTTCATAACTGCACTTCTTCCAGCAACCTTTGGCAATCCTCATTTTCATGGCGTGTAATATGGAGGAGAAATAGTAAACCTTGTATATTATTTTACAATTAACTTACACGATTCTTGGCAATACCACAACTTTGTACTTTAAACACCTTCCTGCCAGTGGCCCATGTTAATTTCCACATGAAATACCTATTGATATTTAATATATTCTTCTGTATTAGTTTTACTGAGACTATGTAATATGATGAACTATTTGTATCAGACTTTTCCCCAGGGCATGCTTTGATTCTTAAGTCAGGCTACATCTAGAGTGCATTTGAGAGTGCAATTCCTGCACAAGGAGACTTACTGAGTCACTTTACTTTAGTTAGCTTGAGTAATAGCTGTAATTACTTGGCGGCATGGGCTGTACCAGCTTGGCAAGTACCCTGCATATCCATGTTGATGGCTGACACCTACATTGCCATGGTTTCTCTACAAACACAAAGTGAAATAGCTAGGTGAACATACATGTATGTGTGTCATAATATACCTCTAAATATACCACTTCTCAGTGTGGCTTTTATCCTTCACAGCAGGGTATCATTACACTGCCTTCTGCTGTTCAGCGCAGACGTACCCAGACCCTTGTTCATCTCTCTTGGGACTTACTTCTTTTTCAATGTCCTCTTTCCAAAAGTGGAGGGAGCAGACATTGAAAAAAATATAAAAAATTAGGTGAGTGTCTTAGCACATCAAGAACGAAAAATTAGCCATTGTGGAATTAGTGTTCATAACATAGAAATCCCTTTTCCTGCAACAGCTCCCATTGGTGCAAAACTGGGAAATTAAAGGTGGCTGTTTCCATCACTGACGGGCAAGGTGAAACAAGAGCATACAGTGATTTCCCCCAAAGTTGTGTCAAATTCTTACGGTCCTATTAAATACGGGAACATTTCTAGTTTGTCTGTTTCAAATTCCTGATCAGTTTAAGGAAAAAGCTCAGAAGCTTACAATTCAAATCACGGCCTTCTTGGTAATAATCCAGTGGCCTTTATTTTTTAATCACATAAACAATGCTGCTAACATGAACTGATGAATACAAGATAGTCCCAACACTACTTTTTTTCCCCATGGGTGGATGAAGGTGAAAATCAAGGAGGAAAATCCCAACCTTAAATTAAACCAGATGATGCGGCTTTAAACAAAGAATGAGGAGCAAGATCTCAGTGTCTTCAGAAATTAGAGATTATGTTCTAAATAAAGTATTTTGCTACTCTTATTTGAAGTGCTGTTGCAATTAAAAACACAACCGGATGACAAAACGAGATAGAAAATTCCCATTCGGACCCCTTCTTTTTGAAACAGGATTTGGCAATAACGCATTTAGAACTGCCGCCGCAATGCTGCAGTATATTATTTTAAATTTGTTGAGTCAAAGAGCGGACAGAGCCAATTCAGTCACAGCCCAGTGCACCTGATCCCTCTCTGTAGGACTCCAAACCGCTCTAACACATGACGAGAAGACCTACTAAAGAGAACAAAAGTACTCTCATAACTACCCACATTGTATTCATAAGATAATGCAAATAATCAGAGAATTTCTCTAAACCCACTGGATGGAGAATATCACACCACCAGCCATTTCATTATACATTGGCAATAGTGGGAATAATGTATTCATTCCAACTATTGGGAATGAAGCTCCCTAAATATTCTACGTTCATTGTGGATAGATTATAAAAGCTGTACCATTTATTTGCCTTCATGCAGACTTGTAAGGCATTAGGAAGTAGCTATATTATATATATTTCTGTATAAGTGCACATTGCAACTAGGAAGCATCTCAACAAACTTTCTACTTGTGACATGCAGTAATACTGATAAATCCTTCACGCAGAAGGATCCTCGTGCAGAAAATGCCAAAGTCAATGGGAACCTTTCCATCGTCTTTCAATGGGGACTACAGATTTTTATCCCGTATATTCCAAGTGCTTCATAAAA